ATATATATATTTAGGTATTTAGGCAGCAAATTTTCTTTTAGGCAGGTCTGATTAAATAAATTACAAACATTATGTCTGCTAATTTTTCACAAAATCCGTTCTTACTCACGAATAACCTTCCCTGTATTGATATCAAATGATGTGAGAAATGTGCTATATCTATTTAAATCACTTTTATTTCCCATTTTCCTAAGTACATTCGATCTTCTTCAAGGGTGCAAGTAATACAAAACTGTGTGTTGTTCAGGGGTACAAGTAGTTATACAAAGCTGTGTGTCGTTATCCATTACTGTAATTTTTCATTATGGTTTCAAATGCAACGATTGACAGTCGAGCTTAGCATTCATTAGAACGTGAAAAAATGATCCATTATGGAATTTTTTTCTTCAATGTTTTATTGTCACGGTCATGCGCGCCATAAATCGTGAAAAACGGTTCCTTTATAGGCATTTCAGAACATTACTGAAGTATTCATAGTTGATTCTGTTCAGTACCGGCTTTAATTTTTTAATGTAGATTGCTTCGAGGATCTGTAGCTTGAATTTTTTTTATTTTCTTGGTGTAGGTTAGTTGTGTTGTCCGTCAGTAATTTTTTATATTGTCAATGTGGATCGACAACACAACTATCCGACACAAGAAAATAAATTCAAGTAATTCTAAATTTAATATTTCTAATAATCAAAATACTTTGCTATATTTCAAACAGTATTAAAATTGATGGAAAATATTTTTAATCGATCAAATCCCTAAAATCAGTTAAACTGGCAATCTGTAAACACGACGTAATTTTCTTTATTAAAAAATCTTTAAAAATAATATTTTTCTGAAAATTTATTTGAAGAACATTAGTTGATTTAAAGTTTAATTAATATGAATTAAACAAATATTACTTACTTTTAGTTTAAAAAAAGGTTGTATTTTTATGAGGTGTTGACAACTGCGTCGATAGACTTAAGTTTAGGAATTTTTTACGAGGGACATATCTGTAACAATTACTTAACGAATATAATAGAAACGCATTTTTCTATATATTTTTTTTAATTAAATAGTAATCTTAAAATTTAGAAAATATTCTAATATTTTATTGAATAAACTTTGGCTTTGGCTATATAATCATACTTACGAAGGCGCTTGTTGAGGAAATGCTAAAAAATTAGCAATAAATTTTAAATTTACTATAGTTACAGCTTTTATTTTCTAATAATATCGTGTATGGACGTCCGTATTTACACAAATCGGCACGTTTACACATATACACACAAATTTTTAATTATTTTTAAAATAATGAGGGTCGCTGAACTGTAGTAAGCTTTTCCATTTAAGAATAGTAAATATAGTTTAATATAAATAATAGCAATACCATTTAATCGCTACAAATTAATATAAATTTTTTAAAAGATTTTAAACTTCATAAATTATTACAATTATAATTTTAAATAAGAAAAAAAATTCTTGTAAAAATTCATTATTCATCGATTTTCTTTTTAAAAACATTAGAATTCATAATATATATTTTTATAAGCAATTAAAAGCTTTTCTAATTAAATAATGATTCAGAGCAGATTTTCTGTAAATGTGGGTCCTGTTATAGAAAATAAAGTTCATGATTTAAATTCACCAAGCATATAACTATTATAAACAAAAATGAATTTCTCGAAATTTCATGAAATTAAATAAGTGTGGTCAACAGATGTAAAATAATATTTTTACCAAGATTTTCTAAAAAGGAAACATTTCTAAAATAATTTGCTCCATTTGTGAATAAGTCGTGAAAGTTTCGACAAATTAATCCAACAATTAATTGATTTTTACAAGAATGACCAAATTAACGTATTTTTCACCGCGAAAGGCGCTCAAATTTCCCATAATAATTTATGGTCACCCGTTGACTCAATGAAATCCAAAATTTTGAACCAAAATTTTGACGGTGCTAAATAGGATTAAAATGTATGATTTAATAATAATAAAAATCTTATGGCCTTTTCTTTTAATAATAACAAATATTTTGACGATAATACTTTGAATTTATTGAGTTTGGGGCATTTTTCATCATGTATGGTCATTTTTAGAGAATCTTTGGAGGTAGCTATACATATGCATTTTTATGGGGTTTACATTTTGTACTTACATAATCAACTTTTGATCATAATCGCGTGTAATTTTTGATTAATGAATATCATGAATCAGGCGTATAAATTACAAACACCATTCAGTCAGTTATGTGCCATGCATGATACACGCTTATGACTGACGAGGCAGATTTTTTTCCCGCAGTAGGTTGCCATTTCTTTCTGCGGTAGACCAGTTGCCATCCAAGGCTATAGAACCCGGTCTGTCCTGCTATTTACCCATAGCTAATGCATACAATAATCAGCTGGTTAGTACTCGTCTGTTCAGTGATATAAGTTACCCTCTGCTGTCAGTAGATTGCTTTCTATAGCAGCTGCTTTACTGACTAGGCTACAAGGAGTTAGCTGGTAGGATTCATTCAAACTTAACCATATAGCTTTATTTCTCCCTTTGAACAACTGATAAGGAAGGTGATAAAGCCTCTAAGATGCATGGGGTTACAGAGAATGAAAGGAAATAGTGAAGGAAAGTAAGAAAACGTTATCAAGAAGAACAATAAAAAGAGCAGGATTCAAGGAGATACAAGATGATGACAATTTTTTAGTCGTAGTCAACAAGAAAACAAGAAGCCAGAAAAGCTTCATATGTGATAAGTGCAAGAGAAGAAACTATCAGAATAGAACTTGCGGTTACCTTTAGCAATTTCAGAAGTAAAATAGTTAATTCAGTCACTTATGTGCCATGTGTGATACACGCTTAGGCAATCATATATCTTTTGATACATGACTGACAAAGCTGATTTTTTTCCAGCAGTAGGTTGCCATTTCTTTCTGCGGTAGACCAGTGTCCATCATTCACCAAACCCGTCGACATGGGGAGTTGACCTCCCCAAGGAATTATTTCTATCCTATCTGTGACAGAGTGTCCAAACTAATTTTAATGCGAGAAAATGCGCTTCTATCCGTGAACCCCTTATAGTCTTAATGACCGTCTCCTCCATTGGGCCTGTTGTTCTCCCCACTGAGTAATAATAGATTGGTAATGGGTCGGTTTCTGGCATGCTGCTCCACCTCTACCTATTGTGTCCTTGAGTTTGAAAGCCCTGGCGTAAATGAACGCAGCAGACGAAGTTAGGATTTGAACTCGACACGCCTATTCCAATTTCGGCGTCGATAATTGTTATCCTACTTGCCCATCACAGATTTCATTCTTCTTGTGCCGCGTCCCTTTTGGCCATGGTCGATCATGGCTCTCCGCAACTTCGTATCCCTTGTGGCTCTTTCTTTTGCCTTCGCTAAGACTCCGGATCTCCATTCTGTGATCCATTCACACAAGCACGTCAGGTCGATGGATCGTTGTCTTTCCCTATCTCTCTTTCCCTCAATATGACCCGTGAGGGTTTCATTTTCTAAGCATTCCTTTCTCATAATGAGGAATTTCAGCTGTCTCTACCTGATTCCGAGAATAAAGGTTCTTTTTATACTATTTATATTGTTCGGACTGTTGTCCTCATCTTTATTATCGTATACACGACGTTTCAGCCGTTGTAAGCTATGGCCTTCTTCAGGATCTGTCTATATTTCTGAGATGAGGTATTGCAAATATTTACACTATTTACATTGTTCGGACTGTTGTACTCATCTTTATTATCATGTTCACAACGTCCACCGGAATAGATTATTCTACTTCCACGTGCCATGCCTTTTCTGGATATGTAAGTTTCAGTAATTTCCCTTCAGTAACTCAACTCTCTAAGTTTTTGTTCACCTCTGCTGTAATCTTTGCGTCAAATCTCTGGGTTACTTCAGGCAACGTTTTTATCCACTGGACCATGTGACAATAAAGATGAAGACAATAGTCTGAACAATGTAAATAGTGTAAATAGTTACAATACCTCACCTCAGCAATATAGGCAGATCCTGAAGATGGCCGGATCGTACAACTGTCAAAACGTTGTTAATATGGCAGTGAAGATGAGGACAACAGTCTAAACAATGTAAATAGTGTAAATAATTTAGAATACTTCATCTTAGAAATAAAGACAGGTCCTGAAGAAGGCGGGAGTGTACAACAGTTGAAGCATCGTGAATGTGATAGTAAAGATTAGGACAACAGTTTGAACAATGTAAATAATGTAAATAGATTACAATACCTCATCTCAGAAATACAGACAAATAGTATTCTTTTTGGTGCCATTTTCCTTAAAACTACCTACTCGCTTACTCCCTCTGTCGATGGAATTTAGATTATCATTCTGTAGAACCACATTTCCGTTGTCTCCAGTTTTCTTTCTATCTGTGAAAAGATTGTCCAACATTCAGTGCGGTATAAGAGTTTGCTTATCCCCTAGCAATCCAGAACTCTTTTTTTTTTGTTTCTAACGAGATTTTTCTATTTCTCAGCACTTTGCTTGGCTTTTAGAAGGCATCTTTCGCTCGTCCAATGCGTATTCGGATTTCGGTGTCGCATTTTCCATCCTTTGTTAAAACACTTCCCAGGTATTTAAACTTCTGTACTTGCTTGATGTTGACATCTCCAAATCGTATTGCTATTTTAAAGGACAGATATTATAAAAAAAAAAGTAGATGCTTATATACGTTTTCCTATTCATGGATAGATTTCCATTGAATAAGGATTGTTTTAATCGTCGACAACGTTTAATGATCACAATGGCTAACAGAAAACAAAGAATTTGAAGTTATGAATTAAGACAAACCTATAGACAGAAATGAGACAACGAACCGTGTCAAGAACACATCGTTTCTATATGACGAGGTTTTATACTCATTAAGACATTTCAGACATTTATGTCTCAAGGAACATACAGAAGTCGATTGGTGGGTGAGTGGTTGGTTGGTTGGTTGGTTTGGGCATACATTATTATGTACAGTATATACCCTAAGAGAAATGGCGGACATAGAATACAGATCATGGGCAAAAGATCTAAGAAGTTGATCAGCGTTGATGAAGCGAAATTGCGAAGAGAATTGCCGAAAATGTCTAAAGAACCTTTTATCCGGAAGAGTGGTATATTCATCGCTGTCTTTTTCAGTCTCTCTCGCTGCCAATCACATTCATCTGGCCAGTGGTCAGGCAGACAATCCTTAGTCTCTAAAGACAGACGCCATTTTTCCTAATCATTTCGTAAATTGAGGACAAGCGTTATTGGCGGGAATATTAGTTTTGGTAGATTTTAACCGCGGGTTCAGTTTTTTTTCCCTTTTGAATGGGTAAGAATGAAAGGACGATTATTTCTCTTTCAATTTCTTTTCTTTTTATCTTTTCTTTTTGCAGTTCATCTCTGAATGCCAGAAATCGGCTGGTGACGATGGGATGCCGGGTAGATTCAGATGGAAATGGAAAGAAAACGAGGGGTTAGACGAACTAGCGTAGCGAAGTTGAAAAGAAAGGTGGGAGCGAATTTATCGCTGAGTGCACCCAGGGTTTACTGCGACTTCTTTCTTTTCCTGCCAATCAGGAAATGTTTTTTTTTTCTTTTCTACAGCTAATGTTTCTGCTCATCAAGCTCGCACCAAATAAAAAAAGAAAAAAAAACAAACAAAACAAAAAACAAAACAAAAAGCAAACAAAAAAACGAAAAGAAACAAAAGGAAATTGTCATATCCTAATTGGATAAATGGAAAAAGTGGAGACATGATAATCCTCACCCCAATATATATATATATATATATATATAAGAAAAACCAAAATCGTTGATGGAAATAACGGACAACTTGCCAAAAACTTAAAACTTTTATCAAGATAACGTCTCGAACAAAAACGACAATAATACTGAAATAAGAAAATTGGCCAAAAGGCAAATCTATCAACCAAGTAAAGTACTTAAAGCCTAGACAGAGTAAAAAACACTTAACAACGTTAAATTCTATGAAAGGATGCCTCTAGTCGTAACCCGAGTTTTCACGCGCGCGCGATCTTCAGATGAATATATATATATATATATATATATATATATATATATATATATATATATATATATATATATTCATCTGAAGATCGTCACTTTTTAGTTCGAAAAGTTACTACCACAATAATTACATTTATTGTTTTTTATTATTCTCCCACCACCATTACTAATCACTTCTACCAATTTACAATAACTATTAGCTACTTATATTATCATTGCCACCAACCCCCTTACAACATTACTATCACATCACATCTACTATTATCATATAGACCCGCTAGAATTATTTACATAAACTACTCCCACCTCCCCCAGCATATTTAATACCACCATAAAAATAACCAATAAGGATTACAAACTGAAATTTCTACCAGTTACATATACACAGTCATCAAAAACAAGCAAATAATCAGCTTTAAATTAATAACAAATAAACTTTAAAAAATTAAAAAATAATTGCAATTTTTACCTATCATAATTTTGCACAGACCCCACCACACGTATATATGTGCATGCGAGGAAATATTATTCAGCGAAAAAATAGGAAAATGCTCTGGTTGCTGACATGTATATATTCACGAGACATTCACGAGAAATTTCGCTACACTTCCGATCTCTGAATTTCTACATACAAAGATAACAGCACCCATATCCATACATATGACAAATCCCATACTGTATGTTTATGTCTGTATGAGCCCCGGCAGACGAGCAAGTGTGTATGTGTGTCTGCGTACCTCATCTGATGTACGGACATGCATCTATGTTTGTATTAGCATGAGTGACATCACGACGACGATTCCCCCCACTCCCATAATAACACCAATACATCCAATATACATAAACCCAAAAATTAAAAAAAAATAATCAGTTTGTCTGACGATCGCAAAAGCGTGAAACCCAGGGTCACAAACTCACATCAATCCAACCAAATATGTTAGCTCTATCTCTGATATTGATCGCTTTCTAATAAGTACCGCGCATATAATATATAATTATATATTTATATTTATATACACTCTTCACACACACACACACACACACACACACACACACACACACACACACACACACACACACACACACACATATATATATATATATATATATAAGCAAGGCGGGAGTGCCACTAGCATGCAAGGGGTTACAGAGAGTGAGAACAAGAGAAAAGGATGAAGAGAAAGACAAGGAATTAGATGAAGGCATCTGGAGATATCGATTGACAATGCATTTGAATAGTTGGAGATTATAGCTATAACGAAAGCAAGTAAGAGGAAGGGAGTTCCACAGATGGGAAGTGTGAGACATGAAGATATTGGAGTAGAAAGGACGGCTACATTTAACCGTTTCGACAGTGAAAGGGTGGGACTGAGATGCCGACCTAGTAGCACGCTTAAATTCATGCAGTCTGGGAACTAGCGAAAGTAGCTCGTCGGAGCAGTTACCGTGAAAGTATTTGTAGAAAAGGCAGAGGGAGGCGACGGCACGTCTGTGAGAGAGCGACTGAAGATTAGATGCCAGATCAGGACCAACCACATTGCTTATCCGTCTCTGGATCTTGTCGAGGACCTTAAGGTGAACAGCAGGGGCCCCAGACCATATAGGGCAGCAGTATTCCATGCAAGGGCGAATGGTTGATTTATAGATTTGAAGGATGGACTCAGGCAAGAAAAACCTTCTGGCGCGATACAGAGAACCAAATTTTCTTTTCGCTGGATGAAGTTATTGATTCAATGTAATTGTTCCATCTCAGGTCAGCGGACAATGTGAGATCAAGCAGTCGCAAAGAGGTGCTTTCGTGGAGTTGAGCATCAGTCATTCTAATGGGAGACAGGGAGGGTTCTCTGTGGTCGGTAAAAGAGAGCAGTTTTGTTTTTGAGGCATTAAAGTTAACCAGCCAATTCCTGCCCCAGTCTACAACCGATTGCAGGTCCTTTTCGAGACTAACGGTCAGGTTAGTTTTTCAAGCTATACCAGATTTGCTATTGAGGCAGGAGTAAATAGTATTCTCGTCTGCATAGATGCCTACTTGGGAACTGATGACATCGGGAAGATCGTTAATGAAGATAAGGAATAGTGTAGGGCCCCAGGATAGAGCCTTGGGGAACACCAGTTTTCGTGATAAAAGAACTGGAGAAGACTTCGATAAGGACGACGTTCATTAAACTATTGCATTAAGTCAAATAATCGTCCTGAAATACCGTATCCCTGAAGTTTACGAAGGAGGCCGTCATGCCAGACCCTATCAAACGCTTTAGAGATATCTAAAGCTACGACACGAGCTTCTCGGTTATTGTGACGTGTTTGGTAACCAAATTCAGTTACGGCCGTGAGCACATCAGCTGTACGTCAGGCAAAGCGGAAACCATATTGCTTGTCAGAGAGTAGATCAAGGGATGTAAGGTGCTTAACACTTTCTGCGTTGATTAAAGCTTCAAAGGCTTTGCCGTAGAGTGATAGAAGACTGATAGGACGCTAGTTAGATTGGTCAGAAGGGTCGCCAGAATTCTTAAAGACAGGCACAACAGATGAGGACTTCCAAGAGTCGGTGAGGCAGTAGTTGTAAAGTTTGGAGAGGACAGGAGCCAGTTCAAGAGCACGTTTTTTCAGGACAACGGCTGGTATCCCGTCCCCACCACTAGCCTTATGGGAGTCTAATGTAGAGATGATGTCCAATACCATCGTTGTGGTTATGTGCATCTTACTCGGTAGAGCCTCAGTTCTGGTGGTGGTGGTGTGTGTGGGGGGGGATCGGTTGTGGGTACATCAGTTGAGCGTTGAATTGAATGAGAATTTCCGAGCAGGGCACTCGGCCTTATCAGCTGAGTAAGTAAGGACCTCAAATTGGTTGAATAAAGGAGGTATTGTGGGTTTGCTGTTGTTTAGTACGCTCTTGCAGAGACGCCAATAATCTTTGGAGCCGAATTTGCGAGATGCAATACCTTGTTTCATTCTATCAGCAAATAGTGATATTGCTTCATTGAGGACACGCTTGCACTCGTTACGGACTGAGACAAAGAGACGTCTGTTTCAATATGACATGTCACTACGGTACAGGTGGAAGAAGTGATTTCTATGGGCAATGGCAGCTGAGCAAGCAGCACAGAACCAAGGGTATGAGCGCGATTTAACCTTATATTTCCTTGCGGGGATGAAAGCCTCGGTTCGAGCTTTTACCCAGGAGGAGACCTCAGAAGCGCATTCTTGAACGGGGAGATTAAAGACCACATTCCAGGGGACATCGCGAAGGAAATCACGGAACGAGCCTCAGTCAGCTCGTTCATAACAGAAAAATCTTCTGTTGGTAGGAGGTTCTTTGCTGGGGTGTAGAGTAGATGAGATGCTGACAGACACTACAGCATGATCAGAGTTGCCAAGAAGGCGGAGCTGCGTGGCACGACAAGACTTGGGGATGGAAGTTAAACAAAGATCGAGAAGGGAAGCCTTACCGTCATGTTTATTGGGGAAACGGGTGGGAAAGCCAACTATTTGTGTGAGGGATTAAGTAATTGAAAAGTTAAGGGTTTGTATGTCAGTAAGGTCAGTTATAGATACCTATATATATATATATATATATATATATATATATATATAGGTTGTGAGAAGAGAGGATAGACCTTTTTTTAAAATAATATCCTTCTATATTTCTAAAGAGAGAGAGAGAGAGAGAGCGGGAGAATTGTTGTGCGTATGTCCTTTCTCTGGTTTCCAGGTTTGTGTGTCTTCTTCTTCTTCTTCTTCTTCTTCTTCAGACTGTTTCGCTGTATCACAGCTCATCAGTGTGGCTAGATGTCCAGTTGCCTCTAGCTAGGATCGAAACCTGACCGAATTGGCGCACGGTAGGAATGAAGGTGAATTTAAGCGTATTTATTTTTTGATAAACACAGTGACTGAGAGAACTCAATTCGATTTAGCGAAGAGTCTTGCATTATTAGCCATAATAGTCACTGTTTACAAACCCACACTTCCTCCCCAGAGAGCTCAACTCAAATAACCACTATCTTATTTGAAGTAGTTTTTTTCGATACTGAACTGGGCGGTTTTTAGAAATACCATACCAATGGGAGTAACGCATGTTTAAATGAAAACTCTACCACTAACCTTCTTTGGAAATGCTAAACAAAAATTTCATATTTTAAAAAATCTAATTTTTTCTTATTAAAATTTAAAGACCACCCCAGAGTTTAAGATATTGTACAAGTGCGCCCCTGAAACAAAAAAAGGATGAGACACAATGATATATCTATATCTATATCTATATATATATATAAAAGTGATTATATTTACATACGCCCTAACTCTAATATTGACCACTTTATCCCATAAATATAGCACACCTTAAAATTATATTTCATCATATATATATATATATATATATATATATATATAAAGCCAGTATATATATATATAAAGTATATAGTATATATATATATATATATATATATATATATATAAATAGTTATATATATATATATATATATATATATATATAATTATTTATTTAAAATATGATTCCAACGCTACATAAGAGTTCTCATGTCGCAAAACAAGAGCCGAAAACTTCAATATAATTATTTGAATTAAATTGAATTAAAGTACTAAGCTCTGTTCCATCTTCAAGCGATATTCATATATATATATATATATATATATATATATATATATATATATATATATATAAAGCCAGTTTTTTACCCTGAAAGTCCGCTTACGCTAATCCTTGGTAGGTAGGTCCTGGCTCACTAGTTGTTTTTTTTTGTTTTTTTTAGATTTGCTCTATTTAGTGTATTGAACACTTTTACTTTTTTACTTAATTTACTCTGTCGATGTTATTTTTTTCTTTGCCTAGTCATTGCGGTGTTGATCAATTATTTTCGACCAACATGGATGCCTTTAGTCTTTTCTTTTTTTACTGAATTTTTTCCCCTGATATCGGCTTGTTCAAATATATTTTTATTTAAAAATTGTATTATCCCGGTTTTTTCACACCGTCAGAGTATAGGTATTAATATAATACATAGTATGCATATTATACATACATACATATATATATATATATATATACTGAATTTCAAAGCCTCCAAAATAATTGTGATCAGAAGTGGGTTTTCATGTTGCCTGTTTTACCCTTTCATGTTCTCGGCTAAATTCGATAGAATAAATACAGACGACTTCTGTTATATCAGTAACTGCATTAATTCAAAATGTTTTTAAAGAAAGTACTTTAAAGTAATTGAAGAAGACAGACTCTGTTACATCTAAACATGATGCTGTTTTTGCTTCATTCTAAGTGAACGCTTTTTCTGATCGACCAGCTGGGTATGGCTGCTAGTGGAAAATAAATATGATAATTAAGTACAGAAAAATAAGCATTTATTATTTCATGTTAAATGGCGTTTCTTTTTTGTTTTTGTTAAATTCAATTTCCATAGCGCATTTTAAATGGATTTACTAATTTGTTTTTCTGCCATTGTTTTTATACTTTTTTTCTTTCTTTTTCCTTCTCTTTACTCCAGTCTGTTTTATTTTCTACTCTTTCACATAAGTTTTTCCCTTCTGTCTTGTTTTCTTTTGAACAGTTTTTCCTTTTCTCTTTTTCATCAGTCATTTTCTTTCTCTTGTTTTCCTTCTCTTTTTCTTTCTTTCTTATTTCATTTTCATTTCTCTCTTACGTTTTTTCTTTCTTTGTAGTTCAATTTTCATTTCTTTCTTTATTTATTTGTCACTGCATCCATAATATTAAGCAAAAAGGACGCAAGTGGCAGAACCCGAAAGGCCGCTTAGACCCTCAGGCAAATGTACCAATCTTATTCATATCAGCGCTGAAATCACTCACACTTTTGTCAGTCTGTCTACAAAAGGGATTTATGTCAAGACGACGTTGAGGCGGGACAGGAAGTAGCAAGATACATTATGGGCGGGGAGTAGTGGGAACGGGCTGATGTAAAACCTGAAATAACGGTATGCATTTAAAGTAACGCTTATTCAATCGGCTGATTCTTTTAAGTTAGAACAAGACCGAACATTAGTACTAGCCGGGTCCGTGCTTATCTGACTACAAAGAGAAATAAAATGAATCAATAGAATTAAAAGAGAAACCAAACTTTGTTATTTTGAAGTGTATCTTAGGTTCTGCCAAAATGAGAAAGGGTTCGATTAATTGCATGAATGCGCATACGTGCTTTTAATTGAACTAAATGTGCGTTGATTACTAGCTTTGAAATAAGGCCGTGTGTTTTTTCTCTTTGTGTTAACATGAGGCATTTCACAGTATTTATTAAAATAAGTTTAGTATCACAAAATAGAAGAAAGATTGTGTTGCGCCATTATGAGAGTGGTGATAAAGAAGTAAATAAATAAAAATAAATACAGTGTAACCCGGATATAAGAGAGTTGTCGGGACCGGAGAAGAAGTCTCTTATATCCGGGTTTCTCTTATATCCGGGTTTCTCTTATATCCGGGTTTCTCTTATATCCGGGTTTGGTCTAATTTATATACATTAACGCAGGCTCTAATTTGGGGCCAGAGAAAATCTCTCTTATATTCGGGTTTCTCTTATATCAGGGTCTCTTATATCACTGTACCAATAAAGCCAAAACTTCACCATCTCTAAAAATAGCCGGATAATAAAATTCGCCAATCGAACAAAGCCATAGTTTGATCAACTAATCAGAAAGCTTTCACAACTGGAATGTAAGAAAATAAATAAATAAATAATAACGAGTCCAAAATTTCATCATCTGTAAAATTTCATAATTTGACCAACCAATCAGAAAGCTTTGACAACCAGGAAATAAGGCCGTGAGCCAATGAGGAGCGAGCGACCTTTTCAAAGACGATCAATAGATGTGTATATAAACAGATGGAAAATCACCCAAAATCACAGTCGATAAATTAATTTTGCTGAACTATAGTTGCTGCATTGAAAATAAGCATATCTTCCTTCACCACATGGTCAAACGGTGATTACTACATTTGGATATATACATACACACACACACACACACACATATATATATATGATATATATATATATATATATATATATATATATATATATATATATATATATATCCCATATTCTATATTCTTTTCTCTTATTCGCCAGGACTTTTACACTTGAACTCTTGAAACCTCAACTTTAACATTATCCTTCTGTATTATTATATTGTGTATATAAAAATGTATTTTTGGATTTTCCAATACCCTGCGTATTTTCTCTTAATTATTACACAAGGCCAATAAATACACAAAGCAATTATACCGCTATATGGTGGGATGGTGGGGACGGACGTTGTTAGAAAATAAACAACTTATCCATAACTAATAACCTCCTAACATCCATAGATATAACTTTCTTTGATAATCAGTATTTAAGTTAGTAGCCTTTACATGGGATTGAACACTGACCAAATGTCATCTAACTGACAGAAATACGCAACTATTGAAAAATGACCGTTTACCAATTTTGGAATCCGATCCCGTGATACGTGTGTGTTTGTGCATCTGGGTCTCACATACACACGAGCGTACACACAAGATTAAAGGAGGCATGGTTAAGAAACAGTTGACAATCACTAAAGAGGACTTTCCAGAATCATTTGAAAAATGGACGAGACACTAGGTGTGAGAATTTTTTATTAGTTTCAATTTCAATATTTTAAATTGAAAATGCGTACATTATTTATATTATTCGTACTATTGTCCTCATCTTTGTCGCCATATTTATTACAACGTTTCGGTCGTTGTACGCTCTGGCCTTCTTCAGGTGGTTGGAATGTCGAACTGAACCCTTTCCTTGCGGTAGATGAAGCTATTGATTTATTGTAGTTGTTCCACCTCAGTTCAGTGGAAAATTTGAGACCAAGAAGGCACAGAGAGACGCCCTCGTGGAGTTGAGCATCACCCATGCTGATAGGCGGTTTCTCTATGGTGAGCAAATGAGAGCAGTTTCGTTTTGGAGGAATTAAAGTTTACAAGCCATTTCCTGCCCCAGTCAACCACAAATTGAAGATACTTTTTTGAGACCAACGACCAGGTTAACTTTGTTAGCCACTTACTTAAGTGTACAGGCAAAGCCTCCATTTCGGAAATGGAGGCTTTGCCTATATTTTTCCGGGGAAATATTATATTATATTATATTATATATATATATATATATATATATATATATATACCGGGGTGGTAGCATCTGTTAGGGTCCCAACTATGGGCAAATAGTGTCTACCAGAGCTGACCAAGCTCTTTAGTGTTATAGAACACGATTGGTCTAGGAGATTGAAAACTCTTACACGGAAAGCCTGAGGTATATTCTCTGCTTCGTCTGTGGCATTTATTTGCACCGACTGAGTGTATCAATAGTTCCGAAAAGTGTGGATGGTTCTGCACAACCCCTCACCATTTTAATCAAATCACTTGTGTGGGTTTCCTGGCGGTTTACCTTGATTCGTTCTTATCTTAACTGAATCAATAAGCTGTCAGATCCTCATACGTCGAAACCGACGGGAGAGTCCATATATATATATATATATATATATATATTATTGTATATTATATATACTATATATATATGTCCGGGAAATTTCAACTGTCTTGCAGCAGTTGGATAATTTGACGCAATCAGGACATAATGAACGCTCGAAGCATAGAGGTAAACAGCGGGAACTTGTGTAAGCGTATAGCCAGACAGGACGTTGGGGTTGTTAATAAAGAAAAATATTGCTAATATCTAGAGAAGATATAAAGTTTTGGAGAGTCATGTTTTCCCAAGTCCGGAAGGCTAACATTGGCCGTGTTTATACTTGAGTTAGTAATCAAATATGTGTAATGTTTATACTGTACTTAATACTTATAGGCAAACAGTAGTCGAGTTTATAAGGTCATAGTCAAACATTGGTTGCTTACACCCACGTCTGTAAGTATCCACCTAGTAAGTGAACGTTTATGGGTAGGTCATACCTCCTTTCCAACCCCGCCAGTGTAAACTATCAATTCACCCTATGTTAACATTTACTAGAGGTATACATATATATCTTTTTTCTTGTTGCTGTAAACGACAGGAATCGAATCGAATTTTCTTTCCTTGATGGAAAAAGGGAATATAGTTTCGATTCCTAGCGGGAAACATATTCTTTAGCAGGATACTAGGTCAGTTGACTTTTTTCATTTACACTATTTATATTCGGACTATTGTCCTTATCTTTGTTGTTGGTTTCACAACGTTTCGGTCATCCTCAGGTGTAAATCAATATTCTGAAATTAAACCCTTTATTTAATCTAAGGGGGTTGACGGTCCAGTTCCACTGCACGTTCTAATTTTTACTTAGTATTGCTCAGTTATTGGTCGCCCGTTTCCACACACTATCCGACCCAGAGATTGAACTCACACTCCTTACGATCAAATTCATAAATTCTCCAGGATTATGAAATTTGTCAGGTATGATTATGAAATTTGTCGCTCTTCTAACACACCCCAGATTAAAAGAAAAGTGGGTGGGGGAAAGCTTGAATCGTATATGGGACATGAAGGTGACAGTTTTACTGATCATTACTTGCACACTGGAAACGTTTCCAGAGGTTTGGAGAATTAAAAATCTGAGGAAGAATCAACTGCTATATTGAGGAGAGTTCTAGAAGACTTGCTGTCGCTTTATCTCAAGGGAAAACCAACCGATATTACAGATGTAAAAATCATTGACTAAATATAATATGAATTATTGACCAGTCTGTGATTATCATCAACAATTCTGGCACCTTTTCCTCTTCTTTTGTTGTTTAAAGAATCAATAAAATCAATTTGAATGGAGATAAGTCATCAAGTTTCATACCAATATGCCAACATACTGCTGCAGAAATATTCGGGTAAAATTAGTTGTGGAGTACTTAACGTTTGTAATAATTTCAATGTCCCACTTTCTTTCTTTCTTTCTTTTGTAATACCCATTTGTAGGAGAGACTCTGTAAATCACAGATACAGCAACAGTAACGCCTTCGAACAATGCTCGGTCAGACATCGCTAATTCCCATATATATATATATATATATTTTTATTTACCCGTCACGTTATCTAATTATTTCAAGATGAGGTTGACTGTGCTTGCTCTCTGGTGATCTGTGTTCAAACCCAAGTGTCGGCAGAGACACTTTCTTCTTTCTTTTAATAACTGTCTAAATTGTTAAATTTAAGAAAACATTTTTAAATTTTAATAACTTTATATTTTTATCTTTAAATTTTATTTTTTAGTTTTAATGAAGATTTTAATTTAGTTTTCAATTCAGTCTTTATTTTGATTCAGTTTTTCACGCAATCTTATTTTTAACTGAATTTTTAATTTCATTTTTAATATTATTCTTAATTTTTTAAATTAAAGATTTTTAATTATTTATTTTTAATAAAATGGATGTATTTTTTTATTTTCTTTTAAATAAGATTAACTTAAATTCAGTTTTTATTTTAATTCATTTTTATTTTAATTCAGTTGTTATCTCAGCTTTATTTTTGATTTAGTTTTTAATTTTATTTTAGAGATATTTTTAATTTTTAACATTGATTAACTTTTAATTTTTTTAATTTCTCAATGACATTGTTTTCAAAATTCAGTTTTTGTTTTAATTCATTTTGTATTTTAATTAAATTTGTTATTATATCGGTTATTTTTAATTCAATTTTTTAATTCTGTTTTTTTAGTGTTAATGTTAATTTTTAAAATTTTAAATTCTTAATTAACTTTGATTTGTATTTAATTATTTAATTCATTTTTTAAAAATAAAATTGATTTAAAATTCAGTTTTTATTACATCTCATTTCAACCAGAAAGCCATGTGAAAATGATATTGTTTAAACATCAACAAATTCTGTCAAAATTACACGAAATTCTTTTTTTTTATATTTGAAAATTTTTTTAATGAAAATATAAAAAAATCCAAGCAAAAACCAAAGCACATGTCATCCAAAATTCACGAATTGAATTCAAAATTGAATTTTATACTCAAATAATTATTGCAATTAAGAATTTAGTATAATTATATATATTTCTATATATTGTCCCTACATAAATAATTCCATAATTTTTGACGGGTATTCTGCTAGTAATAAAAGTGGTAATGATTAATGGTGGGTTTAAATTCATTATCATTCCTATGACTAGTTCAGTTCTCTTACCATTTTTTTGTGTAGTTTCATGCCAGCCACTACAAACTAGTTCCGTAGAGAGCACGTCTGTACGTGGGTGTGTATGTACGTGTGCGTATATGTTTCTCTGGATATAAGACAAAAATTTACAAGATCATGGCTAGAGAAAGGATACTTCCCCACTAAAAATACATACATACAAGATAGAACCCGTCTCACGCAAAAATAAAGAAAAAAAATAAAGAAACTGATATGCATATAAATAAAAAATAGCGTATATCAAAGTGACTTCTAAAAAACGACTCTCTCTCTCTTTTTATCTATCTCTTTCTTATCTATCTATCTATCTATCTATCTATCTATCTATCTATCTATCTATCTATTTGTTCATATCTATCTATCTATCTATCTATCTATCTATCTATCTATCTATCTATCTATCTATCTATCTCGTTCTGTTAATATCTATCTATCTATCTATCTATCTATCTATCTATCTATCTATCTATCTATCTATCTATCTATCTCGTTCTGTTCATATCTATCTATCTATCTATCTATCTATCTATCTATCTATCTATCTATCTATCTATCCGTTTTTCTTGCTATAGGGAACCTTGGCGTGGAGTAATGGTTAACGAAGATAGTTTGGGGGATAATTAAATTACTTCTGTGCATTGATTCTGTCCTCAAAATTCGACATTAAGTAAAATAATTTGATGTGTCGTAAAAAAAGTCAACCAAGGTACTTGAATCTATCTATCTATCTATCTATCTATCTATCTATCTATCTATCTATCTCATTCTGTTCATATCTCATTCTGTTCATATCTATCTATCTATCTATCTATCTATCTATCTATCTATCTATCTATCTATCTATCTATCTATCTATCCCAATCTGTACATATCTATCTATCTATCTATCTATCTATCTATCTATCTATCCCAATCTGTACATATCTATCTATCTATCTATCTATCTATCTATCTATCTATCTATCTATCTATCTATCTATCTATCACGGGAGTGTACGCTTAACCCGGCCGGAATTAGTAGCAGTAGGAACAACAAAAATAACGACAATTATTACAACGGCGGCGGCGGCGGCGGTGGCAGTGACGGTGATGGTGGCAGCAATTACGTATGCTACTTAATAATAATATAATAACCGGTTATTTTCAGTGGCATCAAAAACGCAGAGTGGAGCCGAGGAAATGAAACGAAAACAAAGCAAAACAAATTGAGAAGAGAGTAAAAGAAAACAAGTGGCAGCAGCAGCAGCAGTAGCAGCAGGGGGATGAGGGGTGGACAAAGAAAGTAAAAAAAAAGCCAAAAAAAAAGAATAGCCCGTCCAACCATCTGTCGGGGTTGGCTGAGACAAAGGAGAGAGAGAGAGAGAGAGAAAGTGCGTGAGAGAGAGATAGAGAGAGAGAGGGAGTTTATGTGAGTGTGTGTGTCTCTGTGTGTGTGAGAGAGAGAGAGAGAGAGAGAGAGAGAGAGAGAGAGAGAGAGAGAGAGAGAGAGAGAGAAGCCCGAGGCTTCATCTCGAATACTGGGTTTGTTATACGTGTTGCGACAAATCTAGCTTTCAGCTCTAATTTTATATTTAACCAGAGTGAGTGAGCCCTTATGGCTTGTTGCCAGTTTTGTACAAGAAAAAGAAATATTAGTGAAAAAAAAAGTTTTCTTCTTCTTCTTCTTCTTCTTCTTCTTCTTCTTCTTCTTCTTCTTCTTCTTCTTCTTCTTCACTTTCCAATATTTTTCTTCCTTTTCTCCGTCTTCTTTCAACCCCTTCTTTTCATTCTTGTTTTTTTTGTCCTTCCTCCATACTCTTCCTTACTATTCATCTTTTTCTTCTTCATCTTTAACTCCGTTCTTCTTCTTCTTCCTTTCCTCCTTCTTCTTTCTCCTCCTCCTCTTCTTCTTCAGCAACAACTACAACTACTACTACTATTGCCTATTTTAGTTTTGTGTTTTAGTTTTCAATAAAACACATTTCGAACATGGTCATTTTCGGTTACTTTTCTTTATCTTGTTATTACAAAAAGTGAACACTGAAATTGCCTTAGAAGAAATTTACATTTCTTATCCTGGAAGCTCATCTTACATAGGCGAAACCTTAGCCATTGCTCATCTATAGATTTCTCGAGAAATCGGTGCATATTATGAGGATATATAGGATAGATAAAGTTTGACGCTAGACTTCAAGATATTAAGACTGTAGTCATCAAGGAAGCATCCTCTCGGGAGTCCGTTCCACATTGTAACAGTTCTGAGAATGAGGTTATCTGAGCGGAACTTCCTCCATTCAAATGGAATATGAAGGGAATGGCATGAATTCAGTCAGTGTACGTGGTGCGTCTAAGTGGTGTAGGTCTAATATGGTGGAACCAAGGAATATAGTTCACCTTAACACCTGCCATGAAAATAATGATAAAGTAACGAGAGGTTGACAGTGAAGGAAACAGAAAAAAAACGTCCGTGAAGGTAAAAGAAAATCGGCTACAAATATTTGTAGAGCTTTCCTAATTAGCCTAAAATACTTATATAATGTAACGTATTTCAGTTGCAGGATAACGTTGTAAGCATTTTCAAGTAGATACCAAAAATGAATTCTGAAATACAAAAGGAAGACAATGAAAATAAAACGTAACTATATTGACCATATTTTAGTACTACTGACATCAAAATGTTTTAATGTATGTGTAATGTGTGTACGTGTGATAGAGATAAACACATTTTTCTGATGTCAACAAACCCACATTACCACTTTTGTAATGCCAACGAATACTCGTTGTCACTTTAGTAATATTCGTTGTAGTCGATACTTTGTAATCGCAGATAGAACTATAGTAACACCGTTGAACAATACTGGTGTCAGACGCCTTCGAATATCACTCGCATTAATAGACATGCTCGATAATACTCACTAGAATGGTAATCCGTATAGTGATCGGAATAGAGAAATAGTATAATGTCCAGTATAGAGAATAGCGGTCCGTATAGTAATAGAGGATAGAGTAAAAATGGTGATCGGTATAGTAACAGAGGATAGACTAGGAATGGAGATCAATCTGATGTCAAGCGACTTCCTACTTATGCGTTTCTCCCATGGTCTCGTGATCAACATAATTCAATAATAGGATCGTCTGTGTTTGCTCACTGGCGATCTGTGTTCAAACTCAAGTGTCGGCAGCGATATTCTATTCCTATATAACACAAATATAAGGAGAAAATAGGTCTGCGAAATTAAGTTCTATATAACTAATCGTCATTGGCATGTTCGCCTCTCAAGGTTCGAAATAAAGAGAGGGCATTTGGTAAACTTTGACCTTCGTGTCTAGAAAATACGGAGTGTCAAAAGGACGGCTTTTCCATTGACACCGCTAGTAATTTAATTACCTTCACTCATCGGCAATGTTTATTGATTTAAATTTCATGACTAATTTTTCCTTATTAAAATTTAAAGCGCGCCCCAGACTTTCAGTTATCCTACAAGTCCACTCTGAATTGAACAAGGTTGAGAAACAATGGCTTAGTCTAATAACATAAAGCTATCACATTTCGCCTTATATCCCAATGGCAAAAATCACTTTTTGTCATATATTCCAGTGGCAAAAATCATTCTTCGTCGTATATCCCAATGACAAAAATCACTTTTTGCCTTATATCCCAATGACAAAAACCACTTTTTGCCTGATATCCCAATGACAAAAATCACTTTTCGCCTTATATCCCAGTGGCAAAAATAATTCTTCGTCGTATATCCTTATGACAAAAATCACTTTTCGCCTTACATACCAATGACAAAAATCACTTTTCGCCTTATATACTAATAACAAAAATCACTATTCGTTATATATCCCAATGGCGAAAATCATTCTTTGTCTTATATCACAACAGTAAAAATCACTCTTCGTCTTATATCCCAGGATTTCGGGTAGAGGTAAACAGTAATAGACAGATACCTAAACATTCCTGTTCCACACTAGTCCTTTGATGACGTTTAGAAAATTATCGGTGCGTGTCATATGGTGTTTTTTTTTAAAGCATAGCTTAGATGTGGCACAAGGCCGAAAGTATGTGGCACCCAGTGGAGATCGAACTCACTATTCAATCATAATTCTTCAAGCAAAACAAGCTTGCTAAACATTACACCACGTCGGTGAGCCCTCGGTACGTGTCGTACGGTGATTGATGTTTTATTTAAAGAAACAACAAAGTTGGTCAAAGCACAGAATGAAATCTGAACGAAATACATTACTTTAAAGAGTTCAGTCAAAATTGTCCGTCCTGGGCATGACGATAAACTACATCCGCGTCCTGGGTAAGACGATAAACTACATCCGCGTCCTGGGTAAGACGATAAACCACGTCCAATAGCAAGGCCTCTGATCAGGTGGTTTTGAGGAGAGTGGAACCACCTCTTAATTGCTGATGTTACCAGGTCTACCCTGACCCGGGGTGGTAGCATCTGTTAGGGTCCCAGCTATGGGCAAATAGTTAACTCCCAATCTGGGGTCAAAACATTATGAAAATGTAAAGATAGATTTTAATGCCAGAAATACTTTTTGTAAAAAAAAATATTGTCAGCAATACATTTTTGAAGAAAAAATATTACCAAAAATAGATTTATGAAGGGAAAAAATATTACTAGCAACAAAAAATCTTGTCGGCATTAAATAAGCCATTGAGGTTGATATGACGTAAAACAAACCAAAACAGTCGGAAAAAACAGTCAAAATTGTATTGAAAGATACGAATACGGCTTTATGACACAAAAGAGACAGGCGGTAACAAAATGAATTTGAAACAGCTTTAAGTTTACATTTACATAAGCCTTAAACAAACATATATTTCAGACACAAGGAAAACATTTACACAATATAAGATTCTTGTGTACAGTGTCTACTGAAAACAAAACGAAATATCCATAAGTGGATGTAAGTCTGGAATACTGTAATGCCACCATTTTAAAGTAAATTTTAGTTCCTAAAATTAGAGAGCACTAGCAGCATGGCCCGGCGTTGCCCGTGCTTGATTCAAAAATCGTACGACTCATGCAGCAATCGCTATCACTTGATTTGAAATATTTTTGCCCTTCGTTGCCTTTAAAGGAGTGCCCTTTGCCGTGCTGATGTTGCTACATGCCTTACTTCTTGCCTATCTCACACTTCGAATTTTTTCTAAGCTCTATACTAAACATTAAATCTGTTACAAAAAAAGAACTAAACAAAATGAACACAAAACGATCAGCTTTAAAAAAAGGACTCGTAACTGGAAAAACCGAATGAAAAAAGAATGTTAACAACAAATACTTTTTCACACCCAACCCAGTTCTGCGGAATCAGAATCAACGTTGAGTTTAAGCAAGCGAATGAGCCAAATGGAGTAAAGTGCCATGCAGATTTGAATTTTTCCCACTTGTGACGAATGCAGTTATCTATTTGTTTTGCATGCTAGCATGCTAGTTAAGATTCATGTCAGTCAGCTGTTGGCTCTCACACTGGCCAATAGAATCTTCCTGCCTATTCGTGGCAGCCAGCTATAGGCTCTCACTCTGGCCAGTAGAAAATGGCCGCAAACTACATGAAAACTGCCGTAGAAGCATGAAAAAATCGATTATTTCCACTATCGATGGGAGTTGGGAAATGCAAAGTCGGTCTTGGCTTCCCGCTAACTTGGAGCATGTGCATGTAAATTTTGGTTCAAATCCGTCTAAAATTGCGACCGTGCATTTGTTACACACACACACAGACACACACACACACACACACACACACACACACACACACACACACACACACACACACACACGCACACGCACACACACACATCCTGCCTTTTATAGATAGAGATACAGATAAAAACAGAATGCATGGTTGTTAGCAAAAGGATGAGCCTAAAGTGTGAATCGCAAATCAGAGATACGAAAATCAAACAAGTGCGGAAATTTTAAATATTTTGATAGAGGACGGGAAGAGCGACACTGAGATATGAAGACGTCTTGGGATAGCTAATTCCAAAAGCTAAGAATACTAAGAAATAAGGAAATATTTACTAAAAACTAGGAAAAGAATACTAAACTGCTACGTGATATCTGTCCTCCTATATGGCAGAGAATGCTGGACGATCTCCTGAAAATGTGGAAGAAACTTGAAGTAACAGAAATATGGTTCTACAGAAGGATATTGAGGATACCGTTGATCGATTATGTGACTAACAACGAAGTTTTGGAAAAATCAGAAAGAAAAAGGAAACTAATCCTTAACTCCAGTAAGTGTCCATTTGAGGTTCTGGGACATATTATGAGGAAGGAGGGCTTGGAAAATCTGATACACACAGGACAGATTTAAGGACGGAGGAAAAAACTCATAACATTCTGAGTGAGCTGAAGTAAATGGAAGGCGGAACAGGGTTTAGGAGAAATAACAGAAATACAAAATTTATTAAGAGCTACCAGGGACAGGACACTGTGGAGAGCCATAATCACCTACGTCATGAGGAGACACAGTATATAAAGAAGAAGAAGAAGAAGAAGAAGAAGAAGAAGAAGGTGCCACTTTAGCCATTCATGTTTCTTTTTCAGAGTGTGATCTACATTTCAGAATATGGTCTGTGCAATTCTACCGAAGACGAATGGTCGTCATATTCAAATTTTAATATTATATCCATAGTACCGTCAAGCACCTAGAAAACTATGTCAGTCTACAAGATGGCACCAATACGCATTGAACGATCGGGACTGGACGCTAAAATCCGTCTTCCTAAAAATA